CAGATCATCTCCAACGCTCTTTTCCCCTCCTTCCCCAGTGGAGGGGGGGTAACCAAAACCCCCGGGGCCCCCCCAGAGACCGCGCAGCGGGGGGGGGGGGAATCCTGGGAGTTGAAGTCCACCCCTCTTAAAGTGGCTAAGGTTGAGAAACACCGTTCTAACCCATCGCCGTCCCCGTGACTCTTCCTGCCCGTTATTCTTTTGGCTGCTGAGATTCGTCCTCTGTGGCCCCGTGACCTTACGGGGACCCCTGCCCAGAGGCCGGCTTTCCGGCGGCCCCTTTAAGAGACTGTCCCCGCCCAGTTTGAGGGAAACCCGGAACGAACGCCGGCCGGGTCATGTGACAGGAGGGAGCTTTTGCAACCCGCAGTTTGGCGACAACATGCTGGCGGCGGGCAGCTGGACCGCCCTGGCTCTCCTCTGGGCGGCGGGCGGCTGCGTGGGGCGTTCGGCGGGCTACAGGAGGAGGGGAGGTGCCGGGCGCGGCGGGGCCCTGGCGGGAGGGAGGGAGGCCGGTGGCTGCCCGCCGTTCTTTCCGGGTAAGGCTGGGTCGGTGTTGCTCAGCCTCGGCGGCTCGAAGCCAGCTTGCCGGCTGGGGAATTCTGGGAGTTGAAGTCCACGCGTCTTCAAGTTGTTGGGAAACACTGATCTAACGGAAGGCCTTGTGCTTTCTAAACAGGTAGATCCCAAGGTGAGTGACGTGAGGGTTATGGGAGCTGGAGTCCTCCACGTTTGGAAGGCATCAGGTTGGGACAGGTTCCTCCACGACCTGTATTTAATTATATTTCCATGGCTTTAAACCTGCACTTTAAAACTCATGGCTGCTTTAAGATATGAACCTGGATCCCCATTAAACTGCACTGGTTTTCAGTTCTGCCTAACCTGGTTGTGAAAAACAAGATTTTCTACCCCCCCCCCAAAAAAGACATGCAAATATATATAGTACATAATTTTTGTAAATGTGACCAGGCCAGGCCGTAAAATATTTGAGACCTGTGACTTGGTTTGCACAAATGTGCTTGACCAGGGCTTCTTACTACCAACTGGAACGTTAAGCCCATTATGTTTATTGCAACCTGTGAATAGTTGTAATAGAACTTCCTTTTGAAAATCATGCATCAGGCTGAGTCAGCCCCACAAAAGATTCCCCCTGGGTGGCCCAGGCCAGGTCGTCTGAATCTAAAGTGGGTTAGTCTGTTTCGAACTCCAGTGCAGAGACGGCGACCGGTTAGAACGGTGTTTCTCAACCTTAGCCACTTTAAGAGGGGTGGACTTCAACTCCCAGAATTGGGAGAAGACCACCAGAATGGCCATTTTGCAACTCTTGAATTCTAATTCTTGCTTCTGGATATGTATCCTCTGGAATCCCACAGCTTGAAGCCTGGCTCCAGATTTTAGTTCGGGGTTTTGCCTCCTCCACTGTCTGTCTTTGCAGCTGTGGCAGAATCAAATGCACTTTTCCCTATAAAAATGCATTTTGATTTGGTATCAGCCTTTGGGGGATAAGAAAGTAAGTGGGAGAGAGTTCCTTGTTTTCAGCTTCCTCTTTTCCCTTCTCACTCAGAGCAGAAGGAAATATGCTGCTTTCATGTTTTCCCCCTAGAATTTTAGAAATTAGAACATGAATCATATATTTTCTCTTTCTTCAGAATCTTAACAAATGGGTTAAATACTGCTTGCCATGGTTTGTTTGACTGGTTTCTACTCATTTCTCTTCCTCTTTCTATTTCCATCTGCTAGTTAATTTCTTAAATTATATAGCAGATGTAAACATTTATAAATGGCCTAATTCCTAACTCCCAAAATGAGGAGAAATATTGATTATGCGCCATCAAGTCGTCGTTGACTCTCAGTGACCACATAGATTTTCTCCTCAAAGAAGAAATGTGGATTGCTAAATGTGTGAGTAAGTTGTTGGTGGAGTGGAAAACCCTCTACACGTGCTCAGAGGCACACTGCTCCACGTACCACTTTGATCCATCTTGGTAGGGCAGGATTGAAGAGGGATGCATTTTTTCATTCAACTCTTTCCCTCCAAAAGCACGGGGGAACTTGGATCCCATGCAAAGATTGTGGATCTCCTTTAAGAAGGAATAATTCTGAAGTGGAGTGTTACTTGTACATCACAATATGCCTAAAGCTTGATTCTGTTCCCTAACATTGTACTTTCATTTCCTGTCAATTTTTGTTTCCATTTCCATGACCTGCTTTCAGAGCTGTTTGATTTTAGAATGTAACTGACTTGGGGCAGGGACCTGTGGTTTTCTCCTGGTCAAGGGGCTTGATGCACTGGAAGTATTGTGCTACAGGTAGTCCTCGACTTACAACCATTTATTTAACAACCATTCGAAGTTATAACAGCACCAAAAAAGTGAATTATGAGCAGTCCTCACACTTATGGCCGTTGCAGTGTCCCCGCGGTCACGTGATCAAAATTCGGGCACTTGCTAGCTGGCATGTATTTACGATGGTTGCAGTGTCCTGGGGTCACGTGATCACCATTTGGGGCCTTCCCAGCCTTCCCCCATTGATTTTGCTTCCCAGACCTGGCAAACAAAATCAGTGGGGAACTGTGATGTTTGGGGCTGGACTCCACAAAGTTGGTTTAACCAAGGCAAGATCTACATTGGTTCTGTTTAAGATTCAGTTGCCATTATTATTTTTTTCTGCAACTTTATCACATTTGAAGATTCTTTAGGCTGCAGCCAAGGCTTTGTGCTGGGGGCTGAGGTTGCACATTTAAAGCAGTCTGTATGTTCTTTTGAGCAGTGATGTCAACCCCCCTAACCCTAACCCCCAAGAAGCTGTCAGTTCACAATTTGCCAAGGTCAGCATTACAGGAATCTTAATCCAGGGCTCCAGTAGCACATTCTGGCTGCGTTCACACAACCCTTTGAAGCTTCACAAATCGTACTGTATCATGGGATTATAGAATGGTAAAGTTGGAAGGGACTGCATGGACCATCAAGGCCAAGTCTCTGCAGTGTGTATCATGTGTTAAGCCCAAATAGGCAAGCTATGTTGGCTGAGTCTGTACAAGTCAGAACAGCATCTACATTTGCTCAACAAACTCAGTTTTTTATGATGTGGTAGAAAACATGCCCAAGAAATGCCAAAACCCAGTGATTGTGTCGGCTCTACGATGTTCAAGTCCCAACGAAGAAAAATCTATTGAAACTCGAGTCAAGTTCAAAAAGAAATTCATTTATTGAGATGTACATGCGGCTTCAAAGTATCGCTGGAGCTAAAAGCCCGCACATTCCCAATCTACTTTTACCCTCACTTCTTAACCCCCCTCTCCTCAGCCAGTTCTTGGTTCTCATGTTGGTACGACCTTGGACATTCCTGGCCCTAGATAACAGTCCATCTGTGTTAACGGTTTCACCTTCATTGTTCCCCCCTAGTGAAAAATGGCAGAAACGAAGCAAGCAACTAATGATCTGATGGATTGATTGCTGGGGGTTCTGTTTTGTTGTTTCAAAGCTACCAGGGTACGATGAGTCAGTGGCCTCTTGCACTCAGAAGAGCCAAAACAACAAATTTACCTAGTTCTTATACAGGATATTGGTCAAAGTCCGTTTGAGTATGCACACGTACTTAACAGACCCCAAATGCACGGGAGAAGTTGCTTTACAGCTGTTAAGTAAGGAGACAAGGGAATGACTCTGAAGGCAAGATAGGCCAGCCTCCTGCTTTGAAATGCATAGTCGCAGCTTCGGTCAGCAAGAGTGCCAAAGCTTTCACTGTTGTTCTGGCATCCTGGCGGGGAGTGGCAAAAATCAGCATCCTTGAGCCTGTTAAATTCTGTGAAGCCTACATACCCTAGGAGTTCAGGGTCATTCGAAATATCAAGGGAAGTAATATGTAAATTATGGCATGAATATGACAGAATATTAAATACACCATATAGAATACACCATAACGAAAGAATATATATTGTTCATACACAGTTTGTCTAATGTCTTCCATAGTGGGTTTGGCTTATTTATTTATTTATTTGCAGGATTTGCATCCTGCCACTTCCACAAACTCTGGGCAGTAGGTAGATAGATAGACTGAAAGATCAAATAGGACAGGTGGATTCTGTTAGGAGGAGATGGTCCTGGAGGCCATTTGGACCCCCGAGCCATGCAGGTCTGAGTCAGTGCCAGCAATAGCTTGAGTTGTACACTGAAACATATTAGTAACTGGTGTGGCCCTTGCAGAGTTTGTGTTGCACTGCTGAAGTAGTTCTTACCCACTAACATGAGATCCTATTGTGTGAATCTAGTCAGTTTCGTTCAGGTTTCACACTGTACTGTGCAAGCCTAGAAAACTAGTTAATTCAGTGAGTAATTTAAGGGTGTTGGGTGAACATGACACACACACCAAACTAAGACATGATGTTTGGCCTTGGCTTAGCCACTGTGGTTTGTTGATCATGATTAATGGTTTAGTGCTACCTGTTTGTGAAGCAGCTTGAACTGTTGGTGCAAATCTCTTTCCAGGTCTCTCTGGAATACAACCCAGGCTGGGAGAGCTCTGCTGTGAATCTCCTACACACCCGAGCAGTGGGCCTCAACGACACGATTCACTACATCTGGAGCACCATTGGGGCACCCACAGCGTTGCTGGTGTACACCGGGAGCGACAGCAGCACCCTTCACGTCAACTGGACCCAGCTGCTCTCCTCTTCCCCAGCCGGAGCCATCCGGGTCGAACCAGCTGATAGTGTCTTGTATTCCACTGCAGTTGTCTTTACGAGGGTGCGTCCAAAGGGTGGCTGGAGGATGGGGAGCAAGGGCGGGGGTAGTAGCGCAGCGGGCTCTGAGTGGAGTCCGTAGCGTCATTGTTATTATCAGTTCCAGTGAAACTTTAATGAGAAGTTCTTCGGAGGGAGAAGGAGGGTGGAAAGAGAGGAAGAGTGCTCCATCGCCAGTGTTCGTGCATCTCAGTTGTGATTCAGAGCGTGTGTGGGTGTGCACGTAGCACCTGCTGGAACTTCCTTAAGTCCAACATGATTTTCTGTGGGATGCAGCTTCTTTGGCGGTGTTGCTGACAGGTACAACATGACCACACTTGCATTCTCTGAATCAGTTTTTCCCCTTTGAATCTGGATTGCTGAGCAATCCTACAAGACTGTATTAAAAGTGAAATATAAAAGTATTTTATATTTTATACGTTTTCAAAGTAAAATATAAAAGTAATGATAATAATGTGTTAGATCACAGTTTCTGCTTGTGTGTCTGAGCAGATTGGAGGTTTCTGAGATCTGCTCTGTATTTTTTATATTTGAAACCTGGGAGTCTTCCAGTGGAAGAAGTGGTGGCTGGACAAAGAAGGTTCCTCTCACTTGGGTTAACGTGTGCTCAGTCTGATGGGTTATCTCAGTGTTTCTCAACCTCAGCAACTTTAAGATCTCTGGACTTCAACTCCCAGAATTCTTCAGCTGAGGTTGAGAAATACTGGGTTATATGAACCTGGATCACAGATCAGATTGCCGTTAAGACTGAGTAGTTTAACTGCAGTTTGTATTGACAGTTTATCTTGGCTCCCAGACGCAGGAGGAAGTTGATCTGAGCGTAACCCCTGCTTTTTGCCTCTGGACAGGGAGGTGGATAGAGTAGTTGCCGAAAGGGGTGCAGCATCTCTTCTGTTCTTGTGTTTCTTAGGATTGTGATAATTATTTTCACCTCTACATGCATGAAAGAGGAGGTGAAATGGGAGCTCGCTACGGGTGCCTTCCCCCGTGTCTAAAATGCTTTTGACCCCTGTAGGATTACTGCAGGTTGGGTACTGTTTGTTTTAATAACACCGTAAAAAAAATCCCAACCAACTAGAAGCGTTGTCCATACTGCCAACGAGAGTCTGCTGGGGTAGCCGCCAAAAATTGATTAGATTTACTGAGTAAACTGCAACTAGCTGGATTTAGACAGCACATAAACCATGGTTTGCAATCCTAACACCGTCTGAGTTCCTCCAGCACTCAAAGAAACGAGCAAACGGCCTGTGCTTGGTTTGGAGGGTTGTGTGAACCCAGTCTGAGACTGCAAGGTGGTCTAATGCCCGAAGTGGCCAAATGGGGGTGGCTTGCTGGTGGCTTGGGATGCGTGAACTCAGACAGCTGTAGCTGTCAAAACCACAGAGGGACCCAGTCATGCCATCACTTACTTTCAAATGCGAATGTTGCAGCTGTGGGAATACGATGGCACCAACACGTCCGACCTCTCCAAGGTTCACGCGGAGCACTTCTACCCCAGCTACCATTTGGCTAACTTCACCTGGGCCAGCCTCGAAGGCCAGCTGAACAAAACGGCGCTCTCGGCCGAATTCCGAGGCGTGAGCTCGGGCCGCGAAGGGACGTTTTGGAACGGAAGCATCTCTTTCCAGGTAAATTGGGGGGAAAGGGGGCTGCCCATCCTCCTCAGCCCCCCCAACAAACCAGGGTTAACTCCCGCCCAGGTCAGCAGGCGGTGAGGAAGGCAAGGAGGGCAGGACTCTGGTCCATCGGGCCCCATCCTCCTGACACGCCCATCTCTGCCCCCCAGGTGACGGCGTATGAGGGGGGCAGCCGTGACGGCCCCCTCCCGCGCCTGCTGCACAGCGCCAACAGCTCCAAGGTGGAGTTCGTCATGCAGGGCGTGGCGCCCCGCGGCAACCGCTCACGCTTTGCCCTGGAGATCCTGGCGCTGGAGCAGGGAGGCAGGCGGAAGCTGCTGCAGTCGGTCCGCTCCATCGATGATGAATATACTCCGACGATCTTTGAGGTGTGGCGAGGGCAGCAGCATCGAGTCCGGCTGGGGGAGCCTCGCTCTTGGGGTCTCGGACATTTGTGCAGTGAAATGCTGCCGGATTCACCCGGGGCTGGCGGCTCGGGGTTCCCTGCCGGCTCCCGGCATCCTTTGGTGGCCTCCGGGGTGGGGTGGGGGCAAAGGTTTGCATCTCCGGGAGGCTTAAAGGGTGGAATGGGAGCCATCAGCTTTGCTAAGGACTCCATTTCACCTATAAAATGCCCTGAAACCTGCCCCAAAAAGGGGTCCTCACCCCCCCCTCCATTTTGGAGTGCGACCCTTGAGTTGTGCTGCCTCACTGCTAGCCCATGATACGGTGCCTTGTCTGCGGCATCATGTGTGATGTGCACTCTGGTGGTTTGTAAATGGTAGCTTATGACTGGCTTATTCAATTTAGGGTTAGGCAGGCCCTAAATTAGTGCAGAAGTCTGAATTGCTCTACTTTTTATGTCTAGGGCTTCCATTTTGTGGGTCACAGGATGTGCTCAGAGGCAGGCGGCCACGGGTTTTGGTTAGGGTGAATGTGTCCAATATTAGCCGGGTTCACATATCCAACCCAAAATGTGGTTTTAGTTTTCCTTAGTGCCGTGTTTCTCAACCTTGGCAACTTTGAGAGGTGTGGACTTCAATTCCCAGAATTCCCTGGCCAGCATGCAGCAGATGTTACTAAACTACAACTTCAACTCTGCAGTACTACTGGCCATGGTGACTGAGAGGGGTGATTCAGCAACATGCTGGCTGGGGAATTCTGGGAGTTGAAGTCCACGCATCTTAAAGTGGCCAAGGTTGCGAAATGCTGGTATAGTGTGAAGCACGCTCTTGTTTGCAGCTTCAACAAGAGTGAACCCATCCAATTATGGTTTATTCACTAAACCATGATTATGCATCTGTGTGAATCCAGGTTGTATGTGAAGGCTTCTTCTGTCAGCTTGTCAGAGGCTGCCATTGCTCAGTTTAGGCTTTCTTTCGAGGTCTTGCATCCCCTACCAGAAGCCAGTACACACAGAAGATGCCAGAAAAATAATTCAACATTTCTTGTAGGTTTCTCTTTTTAGCCAGGATTAAGAGGCAGGGCCAGATGAACAATTTTAAACAAACCCTTCATCAGTAAATAGGCCTGTAAGCCAGAGCTGACGAGCGGGATCAGATGCATTAAGAACCACGAGGATCGTATCGTCCGGATGGAGCTGGTGTTGTGGGTACTCTTGCAAAATGACTGTCATATAAGCACATGCCCGCCCACCCCAGAATGGAGGCCCCAGACTGGGGTAACCATAAGTCTCCTGTCTATGGCTCATCTCATCTTTATCTTCAGCCTTCCCTTCTGCTTTCTTGACTGTGTCTCTTCTTTCATTTCCTCCCTGGCCAGATGGCCCAGCTGATCTCTGAGCCCCACAACAACAGCTTTGGGTCAAGCTTCCTGCAGTGGAAGACAGCCGCCTACAGCTCCCAGAATCCCCAGCGGGAAGACACTGTCCACTGCCAGTATTACCCACTTCAGGTGGTCAACACCACCGGTCCGGAGTTCAGCATTCTCCGTGCCTACTTTGGGGAGGACCTTGAACGTCGCTGCAGCCTGTCTGCTGTCAATATCTCCTTTGGCAGCGAAAACAACGAAGCCTATGAAGAAAAGGGATACTTGAGTTGGTGAGGACCCCTATGGAGAGCTGTGGCTTCCTGCCAGAAGAGTGGGGTGGGGTGCCTCTGTCCTGGACCACCGTGAGCTCCTTCCTGCGGACTGAGCTGGGTCATTTTGCAAGCTGGAGATCTCTTCCTGCACTGATGGTCGGCATTGTTTTTCAGACAGCCCAGTGGCCTCAATCAGAAGTTGGCCAAGTGGCAGGTTCTTCGCTGCTCGTGATAGATAGTTCCTGCTATAAGAAAGCGGTGGGCAACCTTTTGGTGGCCAGAGGTTGGGTTAGGGGTAGTGTGGGCAGAGAGGTCCTTTGATTTTTAACTGTAATATGCCTGTTTTACATCTCCATGTGTTTCCCAGCTTGGGAAAAATGGCAGGGAAGTGGGCCGATCGTCTTCAGCAGCCCTAATCTCTGTCGATGTGGGGAGGGGACTCCAAGCCCCATCTCAGCCTGCAGTCTCCCACTCCTAATAAAATATGTGGGGCCCATGCTGTGGAAAGAACTGGAAGGGAAACTGCTGAGGGACTTGAAGGGTATAGGGAAGAGGATTTCAGCTTCGGGGCAGCCAGGGAAAGGGGCCGTGGCACTCCAAGTGCTGATGGTTGGGGAGGGCTAGGCGGGAGTGGGCCTGCAGGGCGACCAGCCAGGGTCCCGAGAGGGAGGTTGACAGTCAGGAAGGTAAAGTTTTGGAAGCTTCCAAAGTGACCAGGGAAACAGTGCTGGGGTTTAAAGAGAGGCTGAGAATGCATGAGTTACCTGTGTTTGTTCCTTCTGACCCAACAGAGTGTTTGAAAGAAATTACACATTCTTTTTATTTAAAAAAAAGAAAATGAACCAATTTGGTAGCTAGCCAATTTCCAGATTTTAACATGGTCTTTTCATGGATCAGTACCTCTGGGCTCCATGTGGCCCCAGCACCCTGCCTTGATAATAATACACTACAGTAGCTGGCAACTTGCTGGATAAATAGAAGGGCCAATGAGAAAAAACTAGATAAAATAGGGAAATGTAAAGACCTTCAAATAGAGATCCAGCGGAACCTCTAAATGCAGAAAAAGAAAGTCATAGTGCCAATCGTGGTTGGCGTGCTTAGTCCCATCCCAAAAGATCTGGAAAAGCACTTGGACGATAAGAATGGGCAGAATCTCAATGCATCAGTTTATAAAAATTGCATGAACAGCACCTATATTACAATGATATCTTGAGCTACCCTATATCTTTGGGAAGGGTCCAATAGTCAAAAGCATCAAACCCAGTCAGAATCGTCTGGTAGACCAGTGTTTCTCAACCTTGGCGACTTTAAGATAGGTGGACTTCAACTCCCAGAATTCCCCAGCCAGCAAGTTGGCTGGGGAATTCT